CCAGTTTCTCTCAATATAGTTTAGTAATCACAAATGACTGAATATAATAGTAGCATAAAAGAATTAATAGTTAAAGTAATAAAGGTATACCAGTTCCTCTAAGACTTTGACCTAAAAAGTATTTGACAAAGGTAACCTAATAGTTAACATTCTTAGCACTTTAGCACGAGCTATGGCTGCTCCAGCAATTATTTTCATTGAATATACAAAAAATTGGAATTAAATGTGTGAAGGTGTTGAAGAAAAACCAAAAAATATGTGTACCCTACAATAACTGCACCATCTGTAAACTGGCTTAGTAAAAGCATCTGTTGAAACCTCAAATTTATAAGCCAAAATCATGTCTTTAGTTCATTTATTTTAATGCCCAAATCTATGAAAAAGAAACAAACTTCTGAGTTGAGAGAAAAGAAACAATAACATACCAGAAACGAAGAGATTGGAAGATGGCTTACCTGGAGGTGGCTTTTCAACTTGAGTATTCGCTGGAAGATGTTCAGTAGCGTCGTAGCGAAGAAGAAAGACTTCAGGTCGTCAGGTTGACAAGCAGCGGCAAGTAGTTTGAAAAAGATGGTTGGCTTCTCCTTACGTATTAGGTTAAAAGGTAAAGTGTTAAAAATCTAGTTATTCAATGTGGGCTTGGTCCGCTATAAAAAAGATGGCTGGAGTATGTATATTTCGGTTCTTTCGGTTCTAATAGGTTATTTTTTATTAGAACCGGAACCGAACCGTTCGCGGTACTTTAGGAACCGAACCGAAAAAGTGAAAAGTCTGCATTGTTAAGAACCGAACCGAACCGGAAATTTCGGTTCGGTTCGGTCCGGTTTTCCCGGTTTTCCGGTTCTAAGTCCCAGGCCTAGTTTGGGACGTCCCGAACCGTTCCGAACTATCCCGGTCCCGATTTAAATGGGACAAGATTAGGACAAAGGCGTGTCCCGTCCCGTCCCGTACCATTATTATTAAATGGGTCGGGACCGGGATAACCCTAATCCCGGACCGTCCCGACCCATGCCCACCCCTAATGGTAATATTATTCACGTTATAATGTTCTCATACATATGGACTTATTGGAAGTGCCATCCGGCCGAAGCTTGTTTGAGGTGTTTTCGCCCCAAATTTTTTGATGAAATTTTATAAGAATGTTCCTCATGTAAGGTAAATTATGACAATAAAATTTCATATTAAAATTCAATTGAGAAATTAGTTGAATAAATTATTGAAAAACACTTAATGAAGAACATGCTTACAAATTTTAATAAAAAAATCCCACTCGAAAGCATGTCAAATGGGCTTGGCCGGATGACACTTCCGGTCTATGAGAAATTTAATGGTGTAGTTTAATTGTAAACTCAATATCCTTCAAACTTCATCACCATATTTCAATATCATGTGAAAATTCTAATGTATTTGTTTATTTACATAGCAAATACTATTTATTGATCTATTTTCTCGAATACTATAATATTTTTATATTAAATGTCAAAATCCTCGACTAAAATATATTTCGAACTTTTAACCTTCTCATTGAGAGTATCAAAATGATGTCATTAAATCATACAGTGTTTGACTATATAGCATATACTATAATAGATTAACGAACACAATAAAAAAATGTATTATTTCCTCTGTCCCACTTAAAGGTTCTCCGTTTCTATTTTATGAAACAATTAACATTCTTAAATGACTATTTAGTTATCAAATATTAAAAAATACATTTATAAAATCATAGTTATCATCAATAACATATTATATTATATACTCATCAAAATTATTTCTCAAAATATACTCGAATTCGCATATTTAATTGTTGTATAAATAATCGTGTCATTTTGTCACGAGTACCTTTAAATGAGATGGATCTAGTACATATTTATTTATTTGAGTATTAAAACTAAGGACATGTTTACTTCACGGGTTGCTAAACAGTGCTTATTAAGACTAGCGTAAATAGGCGGCGCATAAAATAAGTGCTGGAAGCTCATGTTTACTGCAAAGGATTTAAAACACCGTTTAACATTAAAATATCCAAAATAACCATATACATATATACGCACACAAACATTCATGAACACAATTGCATAATATAATATGTGGGGTCACCTCATACGTGTACGGTGTGCCTATACCCCTAACCCCTACACCATACCCCCAACCCCCAAAGTCCACACCCTTGACCTCTACCCTTACCATGACCTTGTCCTCTACCCCTACTCCCCTATTACCCTTCATACCGTACCCCTAACACCCACCTACCCTACTCATAGGGGTGGATCGGGGTCGATGTGAGGGGGGGTAGGGGTTACGGGGGTGGGGATCGGGATCGGGTGGGGCCGAGGTAGGGGCATGTGATAGGGGTAAAGGGGTGGGGTCGGGGTAGGGTAAGGGGTTACAGGTGGGGTGAGGAGTTAGGGGTGAGGTGGGGTAGGGTAAGCTGTTACAAATGGGGGTGGGTAGGGTGTTAAGGGATTAGGGTAAGGGTAGGTAGGATGGTGTGGGGGTGGTTTCAGGGTGGGGGGCGTGGTAGGGGTAAAGGGGTACGAGGGTAGTGGTCGGGGGTAGGGTTACAGCCTACGGGGGGTGGGGTAGGGGTTATGGTCGTAACAGGTGGGTTGGGATGGCGATGGGCGTATGGTGGGGGCCGTGGTAGGGGGTAAAGGGGTACACGTGGGTAGGTCGGGTTGGGGGTCTTGGTATGGAGTAAAGGGGTAGAGTCGAGATAGGGTAAAGGGGTATGAGGGTAGGGGGTAGGGGTGGGTAGGTGGGTAGGGGTATGGTGGGGTCAGGGTTGAGTCGGGCTAAGGTAGGGTAATGGCGTGGTGGGTAGAGGGGTAGCGGTAGAGGGGTAAAAATGGAGTAAGGGGTAAGGGTATGGGTAAATTCAGAAACTGAAAAAGCTTAGAGGTCATTTGGCAACACTATTTTTCGGCTTCTTAGATTTATCAAGCAACGTTTTTTTACCAAACAAGTGACTTTTGCTTTCGTGCTCGAAATGTGTAACAAACAGAAAAAGTAAGGTTGTAGTTACTTTTCTGACGGTATTGAGTGAAGTTACTATAGATGAACATTTTAACTATTTTTACATACATTTTTTTCTTTATTTTTATTAATAAAATATATGTTAAAAATAATTTTTTCTTAAATCAGCAGAATCAGCCAATGCAGCCACATCAACCAGTACTTCATAAATTTCAGCAGAATCAGCCAAATTAGCTGATTTTCGTCCTACCAAACGGGCTCTTAAAGTGCCGCTTAATTAATACATGGTGGTGATATGCTTAGTAAGCGACACTTCAAACACTTCATTCAGTTAGTAAACAATTTTTTAAACAGTTTGCGTGTTTACTTCAACTATAGTCTAAGGTGCTGTTCTGTTCGTCTTATTCTTATTACTTATTGCTTATTCTTATTTTATTCAGATCAGATCAGATCAGATCAGAAAAATTCAGATCAGATCAGATCAGATCAGAAAGATTCAGATCAGATCAGATCAGATCAGAAAGATTCAGATCAGATCAGATCAGATCAGAAAGATTCAGATCAGATCAGAAAGATTCAGATCAGATCAGATCAGAAACATTCAGATCAGATCAGAAACATTCAGATCAGAAAAGTTCAAACATGATTTATCATTTTTATCATTATATTAAATATTAATTATTATTACTAATATTGTTATTACTATTATGATTATTATTATATAATAATTATTAATAATAATAATAATAATAATATGATAAAAAAGATATTAATAATAGTTATAATATTTTAATATAATAATAGTAATATAAATGCAATTGTTAAGAAGACTATTATTATTATTATTACAATATTATAATAATAATAATATGATTAATATTATTATAATATTATATTATAATTATATGTAATTATAATTATAATTACAATTATAATTCTTATAATTATAAGTATAATCAATTGTAATTATTATAATTATATCTATAATTAATTATAAATATAATTGTAGTTAATTATAATAATAATATTTATAATTATAATTACAATCATAATTATAATTATGATTATAATTATAATTATAATATAATATTATAATAATATAATACTAATTATGATAATAATCATATTATTATTATTATATTATTGTAATAATAATATTAATATAATAATGTCGTTATAATAATATTAATTGTATTTATATTACTATTATTAAATTATAATATTATAATTAATGTTAATCTAATTATAATTATTATTAATTATAATTATAATTATACTTATAATTATATTATAATTATAATTTATGATTATAATTATTATTTTTATTATTATAATTATTATTATTATTATTATTATTATTATTATTATTATTATTATTATTATTATTATTATTATTATTATTATTATTATTATTATTATTATTATTATTATTATTATTATTATTATTATTATTATTACTATTGTAATTATTTTACAGAGTAATTATAATATATTGATAACTATAGTTACAATTATAGAGATAAATATTATAATTATAATTACAATTATAATTATAATTTTATTTAAATTATATTTGTAATTGCAATTATAATAATTATAATTATAATTATAATTATAATTATAATTATAATTATAATTATAATCATAGAAATATTCGAATCAGATCAGATCAGAAAGATTCAGATCAGATCAGAAGGATTCAGATCAGATCAGAAACATTCAGATCAGATCAGACCAGATCAGAAACATTCAGATCAGATCAGAAAGATTCAGATCAGATCAGATCAGATCAGAAAGATTCAGATCAGATCAGATCAGATCAGACAGATTCAGATCAGATCAGATCAGATCAGAAAAATTCAGATCAGATCAGATCAGAACTTAAAAAATTCAGATCAGAAACATTCAGATCAGGCGAAGAGAACAGCTTCTAAGACGAGAATGGTTTTGGTTGGGCCTGGGACTAAGCTACCGAGAGACCATATAACTGAAGGGAGATTCGGCCCGCATAAGGACCAACTCAGCTTGTCCACATCACGATCCGCAGAGTAAAACCCTCGCGAAACCCATCATTCTGAAAATCCCGGACTCACGACTGTGAGAGGATAGCCACAGCTGCATCAGCAATGGACGGCGGGAAGCCTCAGAAGAAAGAACAATCTAAGAAGAGAAAGCATGGTTCCCTTCCGAAAGCAGACTCTGGTAAACTGATTTCTAAAAAACTGAAACCGGCTTCCGGAAACCCGAAGAATGCTCCTAAGAAGCCTTCCACGTTGTTTAAGAAAGGCACCACACTGAATGAGGAAGACGCTAAGCCGCGAGCTCGTAAAGAAAATGCCTCCGGAGAGAGCGACGGACCGCGAGCTGCATCTTCAGCAATGGATGGGAAGCCTCAGAAGAAAGAACAGTCGAAAAAGAGAAAGCATATTTCCCTTCCGAAAGGAGACGCTAGTAAAGTGATCCACAAAAAATTGAATTCTGTTCCCGGTAACCCGAAGAGTGCACCCAAGAAGCCTTTCATGTTGTCCAAGAAAGGGACGAAACCCACAGTGGAAGCTAAGCCTCAAGCTCGTATAGGTAATGCGGAGTCGAAGAAGGAGAGCCGTTTACGAGCTAAGGTTAGGCCTATGTGCTTACGATATGATTGTATACCGCATTTGGGCTCCGTCTATCTCATCTAGCTTCCCCTTTTATCATCCATGTGCTTATGACATTGTGAGTCTTTTGAAATAACGCAGATGCATATTTTTTTATAATCTTTCTGTTTTTTTAATTGCAGGAAGTGACTGAAGCTAGGAAGAAGAAGAGGAAGAGACATTATACATTAGAACAGGTTCTTTTCCGTTTTAAAACTTTTTATTATTCATAGCGCATATTAATTTGATCTTAAAAGTAAAAAAAGAGGTGACTTTTAAGCAACTAATGTAACATACTACTTATGTTGGAAAAACAATCTCAAGCATGATATATGAGATTTACTAAATTACACCAGTTTTCTGAATTGTGGAAAACCCAATCTAAGTAGACATCCTTATGCCCCTCTAATTGAAACATGTAATGAAATATTGATGCTTCAGTTCTCACGCAACACTTGTGATATGCACATGTCACAATAATTTACAATTTGCATTTATTATTTTTATAGTGTTGCCACCTTTCGTTTGAGCATCCATTTTTCAACACACCTAGTTGGTTTAGTGAATCTCAAAATATTAGTTAGCACACCTAGATATTTTTGTATGCAGTTTTATACTATTTGAACCTTTAGATGATTTTTTTTTTGTGTGTCCAACACTCCAACCTGTTGGTCTGTTATGAAAAACCTTCTCACTTTGACACTTCAATTTGTCAATAACTATTTCCTTAGACGAGTAAGTCTATTCTATATCACCTTTGAGCTTCAAGTATGTACAGCATGTGTAGGAAGATTTTCCCTGGCAATGCATAGAGCTATTGGTTTGTCTCCATGGCACATTTTCTGGAAACGTGCTATCAAGTTCATTATTTTCTTTCTTTTCGTGCAGGAGCTTACAAGATTGTGGGAGAAGATGAGGCAAAGAAATATTTCAAAAGAAGATAGATCAAAGTATGTGATTATCATTTATTTTTATGTATTTGCGGTTTGCCTACTTGGCTTGCACACAAGTCACACACTTAACATTTCTCTGACATAAATGTATCTGCTTTTTAAAAAAATATTAAAATATTTTATATATCCAGATTGGTGAGTGAAGCTTTGAAGAAGATTCAAGGAAAAATCCCTGAAGTGGCTAGCTCACATGTTACGTCTCGTGTTCTTCAGGTCATTCTCTTGTGCAGTTCTTGTCAAAGCCTTTAAATGATCTATTGTCTGTTCATAAGAAAGTACTCATTTATTATGTTCACTTTGTTCACCTCAGACATGTGTCAAACATTGTACCCCTGATGAAAGGAATTCCGTGTTTCAAGAGCTCCGGCCTCACTTTATTACCCTCGCCTGTAACACATATGCTGTACATCTGGTCACAAGGATGTTAGATAATGGTAGTTTAAATGATTTTGCGTACTTTTCTATATCTTTTCATTTCCAATGTATCTAATATGTGTAACATTGACATTCTAAATGCTAGTGTCACACTCTTGTTTTGAATGTCCCCATTTTCTAACCAATGTACTGGTTATTGATTGCAATCTTTTGTTTTATTTGCAGCGTCAAAAAAACAACTGGCAGACTTTATGTCATCTCTTCATGGGCATGTTGCCTCTCTTCTTCGTCATATGGTTGGTTCGCTTGGTATGATCATACAATCTGTCTCTTGATTTTACAGGCTTTTGGAGTACTAATGCTTTAAATTTTCAGTCAATTTGGTGTGTTGGATTGTAAACTTTGTTTTTGTTGTAGTTCTGATACCCTATGATTACAACTTGTGCCTTTCTTTCATACAATCTTCTAGACCTGATCTTGCACGATTGACAACTGTTTGCTGATCTGTTATAGTTGTTGAGCATGCATATAAATTGGGGAGCCTAGCTCAGAAACAAGCTTTTCTGATGGAACTATATTCACCTGAACTCCAGATTTTCAAGGATTTGGTCTCAGGGAATGAGGCCAGGTATGTAAAGTTTAAAGTTTAGATATATCTGATCCCAAGAGTGTTGTGCATGTCATATATCATGTTTTAAGTGGCTCCTAATTGAGCATGTGTTTTAATTCCGTAATGCTTCCAGTATTGCAGATGTCATTTCCAAGCTGCATCTACCAAAATCATCAGTCTTACGTCACATGTCATCTGTGCTTCAGCCTATACTGGAGAAGGGAATTCTTGATCACTCTATCATACACAGGGCAATTGTGGAGTTTCTAAGCATTGCTGATCAGGTTGACGCTATGCCTTTCATACAATCTTTCCAAAAGTAAATAGCATTTTTAGGTGCAGGGCTTGTCAAGGTTGTCAAGAACAAGGTCCTACATAGGAACAGAAGGGGTATTCTAAAATGCAGGATCATATAGAAGCAAATAATCACACATTCACAAAAAAAGAATATTTTTCACTGAAAACTAAGACGTGCCGGTTTCTGCCAAAAATGTATACTGAATGAGCTGGATTGTTAGAATTTAGAAAGGAATGATCCTAGGACTCGTGCAACCAATCGCAAGCGCTTCTGTGTAGGTTCAGCATTCTTAATGCAAAACCTTGCTTCTAACAAACTTGGTCACACCTGCAGCTAAAAGTTATCTGTTTGACTATGAATGATTTGTCTGAATTCATAAATCAAATTTGCCAAAAGTCTTCTGCTGCAGATGTAATCCAGCAGTTATCAAGTGCAGATCTTGTACGGATGATGCACACCAGGGATGGATCCAGGATTGCAATGCTTTGTGTCAAGCATGGGAGTGCAAAGGTTGACTTGAGTTGATAGTTGTATGCAAGTGCTTTCATCCTGTACATTTCATCTTTTCATTCTCCAGTGGGATGATTTTATTAACTGCCTGAAGCTTTAATGTATTGTGTTGTCTATCTTTGGGCTTTAGGATAGGAAGAAAATAATCAAAGGGATGAAAGGAAAAATTGAGAAGATAGCTCGTGATAAGTTTGGTAGTATGGTATGTGTTTTGCTTCATACTAGTTCCTTGGGCCTTAAGCATCAACACTATTTACTATTCATGTAATGCCTTTATACTGACAGGTGCTTGTGTGCATACTTTCAATTGTTGATGACACGAAACTTCTATCAAAGGTTTGCTTCTTCCACCTTTGCATCTTGGTAATCTATTGGTAAAGGGGGTTCACAGAGATTTTATCTGCTCACTGAACGTCTGTATATTCAGATTATTATTTGTGAGCTTGAGGGCATTCTGAAGGACATTGTGTTGGATCAGGTTTGCCCATGTTCCTTTGCTCTATTTTCCCATCTGGATGGTTTTGTTTATTTTGTCTTTAGGCAAATTAATAATCTCAAGACTGCAATTACTTGCCCCCAATAATTAAACATGAGATGTCAAATGTGAATAAAAAGAATTTCATGTCTTTTTGTGATATTCACGATTTTTTTGGTTTAGTATGGGACTTCTAATCATTTTCCAAAACATTTTTGTTAATATTTTCTTGTATTTGCTCCATATATCAAACTATATCAAACAGCTATTACATCACTCCCACAATCTTTATTAGCCTGTATGGATGATCTTATCTCTTGTTCTTATTACAGAATGCAAGGAGACCTATAATGCAATTACTTCATCCCATCTGCTCTCGTTATTTGAGCCCAGATGATTTGGAGTCGCTCAATTTATCGATTCCCTCACTCACTGTCAAGGTTGACTCTTCACCTTTAACCAATAACTCATAGAACAAGTTGCATATGTCTTGAATAATTACAAGTGTCTTTTTCTTGGATTTCAGGGGTTGTCAGAAATGGATAAAGCAGAATCTCCGTGTGCTTTAGAAGATGGAACCAATGCAGTTGAGCCCACATCTGAAAAAACTAAGTGCACATTAAAAGCTCAACATTTAAATGAGGGCGGCAAAAAAGATCCTCTAAGGAGGAGGCAAGAGTTGCTTGTAGATAGTGGGCTTGCTGAGGTTGGTATATAGCCTTCACTTCCATGTCTATGCATATATTCAGGTGTATGTTTTAATCTGGCTTGTGCTTTTGTGTTCTATTTGCATCTTTACCAAATTTAAAAGCTTCTAACCCCCTAAATAACCTTTCTTGTTAATCCCTCTTATTAATATTGTTGTTGAAGTTGTTATTTTTTATTATTAATAATTTATCTTATTACTATTGCTACTGCTGCTGCTGCTACTATTATTATGATTTTTATTCTTAACATGGCCTTAGGCCCTTAACATATCATTTGTTGCAGAAACTCCTTGATGTGTGCTCTGAGATGCCTGAAGAGTTACTAAGATCAAATGTTGGTAAAGATGTTGTGTTTGAGGTACTTTGAGATACTTTTCATTCATTAGTTCTCCCTTCTACACATCTGAACAATAAACAATGGTGCTTATCAGACCAAAAGCAGCACCCAGTTTTCTAATAGCCTCTCCCTTTTATAAAAACACTTCAACTTAAGTCATCCTAAATGAAAACGTAATCATAGACTTTGAAATGGAAATGACTGACCGGTGATGGTTCAACTGCAATGCTTATTCTTTAAGGTCGGTGTAGGAAGAGAAACTTCCTGATATTGATCGTAAATGATCATGATCACCATGAAATATTAGTATGATCATCAGTATGATGTCCTTAACAACTAATTTCATAGATCATAAACATTTTTAGTACTATCATAATCAAATTTTAGTGTCATTATGATTTTTTTTAGTTCAAGATCATTTTGAAATGGTAAACACTAGACCTGCACAAAACCGGGCTGGCCCGCCCGGCCCGCCCAACCGGCCCACACAAATGGGTGAGCTTGGGCATATATATTTACCGACCGGGCCCGGCCCGGCCCGCAATAACATATGGGCGGGCTTGGGTTAGGGTGTAGGCCGTTCGGGCCGTTAAGCCTGGCCCGCTACATTTAGTATATATACATACATACATACACACACATATATATACTAATTTATTTATTTATTTACATGTACAAATGTATATTTATATTTACTAATTTATCTTTATACATATTTATAGTTTATTATGCTTAAATTTAAGTTTTTAGTTCTTAACAACTAGCCCAACTAATATAGTATCTATTTTTGTACTTCAAGGTAATACTTTGTGCGTGAATTTTAAATTTTAGATATAGTGTCTCATTATTATTATTATTATTATTATTATTATTATTATTATTATTATTATTATTATTATTATTATTATTATTATTATTATTATTATTATTATTATTATTATTATTATTATTATTATTATTATTATTATTATTATTATTATTATTATTATTATTATTATTATTATTATTATTATTATTATTATTATTATTATTATTATTATTATTATTATTATTATTATTATTATTATTATTATTATTATTATTATTATTATTATTATTATTATTATTATTATTATTATTATTATTATTATTATTATTATTATTATTATTATTATTATTATTATTATTATTATTATTATTATTATTATTATTATTATTATTATTATTATTATTATTATTATTATTATTATTATTATTATTATTATTATTATTATTATTATTATTATTATTATTATTATTATTATTATTATTATTATTATTATTATTATTATTATTATTATTATTATTATTATTATTATTATTATTATTATTATTATTATTATTATTATTATTATTATTATTATTATTATTATTATTATTATTATTATTATTATTATTATTATTATTATTATTATTATTATTATTATTATTATTATTATTATTATTATTATTATTATTATTATTATTATTATTATTATTATTATTATTATTATTATTATTATTATTATTATTATTATTATTATTATTATTATTATTATTATTGTGTAAGTATTATTATTATTGTGTAAGTATTATTTTTGTACACACGCTTATATTGTATAAACATTATAAGCGTATTAACAATTTTTTAAATGTTGTAATAGTATTTTTGAAGTATTAAACAAATTATAGAATTTTTAAAAATTTAAAGATTTTCCTGGCCGCCTGGCCCGGTGGACTACCCGGCCCGCTCTTACGGGCGGGCATAGACATAGGGTTAGGCCCGTTTTTGCGGGCCGGGCCGGGCCCGCTCACACATGATGGGCGAAAAAATTATATAAAGCCCGTCCCGAGCCCGTTTTTGTGTTACACAGATTCAGGATTATGGAACTTCCAGTGTAGGTTTAATTCGATGGCTTGACTTTTTTAACTTTCTTTTCGTTTGCTAGATTGACAACAAATGTTCATTCCTTTATTGCACTTTATTGCACTTTATTGCAGTTGTGTTGACTATTAGGTTTAATCTTATATGGTGAATCCATGCATTTAGGTTGTATGCGGGGGTGCTGATGGAATTCTCAGTCACACTCTAAATGAGAAATTGGAAGCCTTGTATGAAACTATAGCATCACTTGCCTCACAACCTAAACTGGAGGAGGCAGAAGAGGAACATATCCTTGAGAACTACCATTCTAGTAGGACTATCAGAAAATTAGTCTTAGAGTGCCCTGCCTTTGCTCGCACTTTATATGAAAAAGCTCTAAAAGGATATTGTGAAACATGGGCGCAAGGTCACAGGTTTTTTACCCCTCTTATTCTCTTTTCTCTGTTGTCATTGGATTATTTTACCTAGGTAGGTGTATCATTATGGGGTCCCCATTTGCCTGATTTTTCAGCTTAAAGGTGATAAGCGCATTTTGGGAAACCTCTGATCCTATGGTGCATGAATTGATCAATGAAGAATTGCAGCCATTGGCAGATAATGGCATTCTCAAGGTAGCATCTCAAGCAAAAGAACTCCCTAAAGTGGTGTGACAAGAAAAAGGTAAACGAGTCTAAATGTGGATACTGGATGGCTCATATGGCAATGATGTAAGAGTAAAGGACAGTAATATATACCCTCTGCTAAAGAAACTGTATCCATTTGGTTCCGCTCAATTTTGATAGAACATGTAAGCACATTTTCACTTTCCGTTGTCTAGTATTTCTTCAGCCCATATTAATGTAATCAAACTATTTAAAGAGGTATAAATTGAATTAAGAAGCTTTCCGTTTGGGTACAGATTTGGGAACATTTCTCATTGTTTTTTGGAATTCAGTAGTGTTCATTGACCATTTATATAGTTTAAATGTGTTTGATTTTGTTACATCTCCGTTGCTGTTTCTCCAGCGAAATTTCAAGAGTCTTTCCGTTTTCAATTTGTTTGTTTAAATGTGTAATGCTGTTATTTCAAGAAGTTTATGCTGAACATGTTTTTATTTTTTAACCTAGAGCGCAAATCATATTTCTCAGCCATAGTAAAGTAGTAAACTGATTGAAAAGTTATTTCAAGAAGTTATTTTTTTACAACTTTTGATAGTCGAGTGTAGGCATGGATCGGGTTCCGAGCCGGGCTCTGGCCTCTGGGCTTTGTCTGTGGCTACTGGCCTGGAGTTGGCCCGGGATTCCACTGGGTCCGGACAGGTTCATATATTTTTTTTTGCTTTTCTAATTAACACCCAACCCCCACCCTCACCCCCAAAACACCTAGCCCAACCCGGCTACAACCGAAAAAAATGAAAGAAAAATTATAGGCCCGTACCGGTCCTAGGCCTGTGCCGGTCCTAGGCCCGGAACCGGTCCTGGTTCACCGGGCCGGGCTGGTTCCGCACAGTGGCGGGCCGATCAGACCGGAACTGGGTCACCCATAGTTGAGTGTGCAACTATGAGATGTAACTAATTATATTTAAGAATATTACCCGAAATAGGATTAAAAAAGTTTGAAAAATCCAAATAGGATTGTCATGTTTTGACAGTATCACACTTCAAACATGGTAGTATTTTTCAAACTTGGCAGTAATTACTTCTATTTTGGGGATAAAAACATGACCGTTCTATTTTGGAATTTTCAAACTTTTTTAGTCCTATTTCGGGAACTTTCCCATTTGTTTTGACAACAATCCAATTAATTTTTACTATTGTAACTTGGCTATATGAATTGGCGTATTCAAGATTTTTTATTACAAGGTAGAAATAGGGATGGACCGGGCCAGGGCCGGCCAAAATTGGGACTAATTTTTTGGGCCTAAGGCACGGGGTTCTACCGGGACTGGGTCGACCCGGGAATTTTTTTTGGCTTTTGTAATTTATTCCTACCCCCCACACCTAGCCCAACCCACCTAGCAGAGGCCCAAAGTCAATTTTTTTTTGGCCTGAACCGGTCTCGGACCGGCCGGTCCCCCCTTTTGCAATCCCGTAACCCGCTGTTACAGTCCCCCGGTTCGGGCCTAATGGACCGGTCCCGGTTGGCTAGCCGGGCCGGTTGAACCGGTCCTGGTCCATCCCTAGACCCTAGGTAGAAATCGCACTAGAATTTATCTCACGCATGTGAGCATGTCACATATTTGATCATATCAAAATGACAGAATGACTTGACTCAAGAACTTTACTAAAAAGTAAAAGGAAACTGGGCAATTTTAAACAAAAATATAACTTCAGTCAAAACTGTTTTGTGGAACTAAGGAATATTGAGTTCTCTAGGTGTATTTAGGGATGGACCGGTCCCGGTTCGGGACCGGGTCTGGGTCAGGCTTAGGGCGGGACCGGGTTTGGGAAATGGAGGCCCGGTACTGGGCCGTGCCCGGGTCAGGTACCATATTTTTTTTTTTTGAGTTTTTGTTTATTAATTCTAACACCCCCAACACCCACAAACCACCCAGTCCAACCCGCCTCTTACCCAAACCATTCGAAAAAACCAAAAAAAAAAATGGACAGTTCCAATAGGCCTGCAACCCAAGCCCGTCCCCAAAACACCCCTGGGTCCAGTCCCACAAAGTAGCGGTCAGGGCCGGGTACCGGGCCGGTCAGACCTGTCCCGGTCCATCACTAGGTGTATTGTGTGAAATGTGAATTACAATAACATTACAAAAGGAGAAGTTCTGTTCTAGTTTGTGAGATTTTTTTTTCGATATTACATATTAATTGATCCTAATTTAGTAAATAAAAAACTTGATACATGTTCTATATTATTTCAAAATGCAACAAGTTAACAACGGTGCATGTTTTTGGTGTATGTTCTATATGTTTTTGTTTTGTCAAAAAACAAACGTGTATGTTTTTGGTACGGAAAATTCATTTTTCTTGCACAAGTTGATGTACCTGATCAGAGATATCGAGTATGAAGTGATCCATGAGAACATGGAAATAACAAGTTTTAAGAAAACCATCATTAAAGATGAAAGTGGTTTAACCAATTCACACGTTTGTTGGAATCCACATTCCGTCTATTCACTACCATTAGAGATCTCCAATGCTACAATGTGCACGGCGCACATGTGGCAAAAGAGAGATAGACACAAAAAATTGATTTTATGACATTTCTCTCTCCGTCTTTCCACGGTCTTATGTGTTTTTGGTAAGTTTTTCTCTGCAATGTCAACCACATTATCTACATCTAGACATTGTGCTTGACATTGTGAAGAAAAACTTACCAAAATGATATAAGATCCTTCAAATAAGGAGAGAGATATTTTATTTATTGTTTTTTGATTGGCTATCTCTCGTGCCACGTATGCACCGTTAACGTATTAGCATTGAAGATCTCTTAGATGCGGTTAGCGTATGGAATTATTAACATGCAACCCAATCTAGACAAGTATTATTAGGCAGCTCCATTGAGAAGGCATTGCATTGGATGATAAATTTGAATCCGAGGTCTAAGTACCCATAAGTCCATAACCCTTTAAAGTATACATAACCCTCACAAATATCGGCCTATTCATGAAAACTCTTGTTTTGATAGCTAGGCATCTACCTCATATCAATAAACTCAACAAGAACAACATCCAAGCCTCGTTTCAATAACTACAATAAACATTTTACTTCTATATTTAGTAAATAAAAACGGTAAGTGTTGTAACGTTTCCATTAGTAACATTGCCAGAGTAACAAGAGCATTGACCTATTGTGTGCGGCCAAGTGTTTGTTCATCCATGAAATTTCTCAAGAGTTGCAATGACTGATTATAGAGATTAAGGTCCATGCCATCCACATTTCTTCCTACTCGTGCTTTCAAGATCGCCTGAAATTATAGACAACAATATGATTACTAAAACACCACCAAGGGTGATATCATTTTATTCCTCTAACTAAATAGTACTAGTACATCTCAGATACGAGAAATCAACAAAGATGGATAGAGGATATGCACAATAAATAGGAATATTTGGTTTTGAGTGCTGATACTAGGGAAAGGTTCAGTGAAAAATTGGACTCAAAAGGTGAAATTGCCCAGTGCCTGGTGCACACTAGGAGCCATTGGTTGGAACTTCCACAATGCCCCTGAGACCTAGGACTGAACACCCTATTGAGGACCACTTGAGCTTCCCCTGACGCAGTTTCAGTAAACCTAAATCACTCAACATTACTCTTGAAGTGGATAAATAAAGGAGTATTGATAGGAAAAGGTTCAGTAAAACCTAAAATCACCCAAAAATCACTCTTGAAGTGGTTAAGTAAAGGAGTGTTGATGTGGAAAGGTCCAGTAAAAATGAAATCACCCAACATCACTCATGAAATGGACAAGTAAAAGTGTATCAAACAAGCTACTTCAAGGTCTTCTTAAAACATAGCATTTTCCTAAATACTTCTCACCAACCCTATCACTATTCTTTCATTTCGCCTTGCCTCAAGAGTTAAGAACAAAGCTCTTGGTTTTATTCTTCTCCTAGAAGATGAGAAAAAGAACATGATATGTAAAATGATTAAGGTTGAGGTATGGTGCGTAGAAACCAAGATGCAGATAATAAGCAAATTATCATACCTCATTACTGGGATCAATATGCAGTTCTCCAATGAATTGGTAGATGGAACCAGGGCGAATATTGACATTCAAGTGCTGTGTGTCTATCTTTAAAGAGGCATTCCCATCAACAACTACTGCACATGCCGTCTGGACATCATAATCTTGTAGCCTAAGTTGGAGAAAGGTTCTATCCATTATCAGTTGTCTTACCCTTGGGGCAAAGTTTTTAAGGCTTGGATCTTTTTTATGAGTAAATGTAGAAGTGAGATTAATAAGCATAAATTGTTTTACATCATAAGTTTATAACTTGTAACTTGAGCTGAAATTTGAAATCTTTACTTGAAGACTTCTAATAAATCAGGGGGGAAAAATTGTAAAAAAAAGGCAGATTACTCACTTCCCGGTGACTCTGAGTGAGGCCCCTTGCTTAAAGAACGGAGAAGAGGGATTCAACTCTTGTAACATTACCAGCGCACCAGCTTTGATTGCAGATGCCGCCATTCTTCAGTAACTGTCGACAAAATGCATACCGTAAACCGATTTGACAGGGAAAAACCGAAACAGATTAGCAATTGAATATAGAGTGCATAAAGCCTTGGGCCGCGTAGCAGATAGATATGGAGTATTTCAATTTGATGGAGAGATGAGCTGATGAGTCACATATGAGCGACCTTTCCGTTTAACCTCAGTTTTGGCTCTGCGCGACCAGATCAGAACCGAGAGGAAAGAGTCAATTGACTATTTTTAATAAGATTGAGTTGGCTGATAGAATGTTCAGTAAAAAAGGAGTAATAGACAAAGGTCACGAGATCACCTTCGGGAAATCGACTAAAAAGAGAAAATGGATCTCCAGAGATAGACCTACTGGAAGCGTCGACCAGCGTGGGTGCATCTAACCAAGGGGAAATTGACTTGTGGGGGCAGTGGCGGAGCCACTCTTGTTCACATATAGATGTAAATTTAATATAGTTATTTATTGCTATTTAAATTTCTAGTTTCAAAAAAGAATTGAACACCCTAAAATTAAGTTCTACCTATTGACATTCTATTAGCCAACTTAACTATAGCGTGTTAATTTAACAGTTGTACTCAAATAACAATAAAAAACTGAGTTGTGTACTTAAAAATGTCAAATGCAATATAATGTTCTCATTTTGTAAAAATTGAATTGGTCGTGTAATGACTTGGAACATGTACGGTTCGGTTCGGGATACAATTTGAAACTTTATTTTCAGGTTCGACATCATAACATACCAGTCTAGTGCGGTACAATGTCGGTTCAATTTTTTTATTGATCTCTATGAAGTCCTGATTGTCGAGTCCGTTTTTCAACTTATCAGTCAACTGTTTTATCCAACACGTAACT